CCAGCTCCAGGTGATGCTGGAGACCCAGCCCCAGCGTGGGGACATCTACGCTTGCAAGGTGGGGCACACCAGCCTGGAGGCCCCTGTCACGGTCCAGTGGGGTAAGCCCCTCCCTTCCCTTCCCTTCCCTTCCCTTCCCTTCCCTTCCCTTCCCTTCCGGTCTGGGGACACCATCCTGCACTGAGAAGGGGTCATCGATGGGGGGGCTGGAAAGACCCTCCCTTGTGTAGAGCCAGAATGGCCCCCCCGGAGGAAGCTGGCCCTGATCCTCCTGTTCACGTGAGGCTCCTTCTCCTTCCCCAGAGCCACGTTCCTCCAATGCTGCCAAGAGCAAACTCTGGACGAGGGCTGTTGGGGCCATGCTGGGGGTGGTCTTCCTGGCTGTGGGGCTCTCCCTATACCTGAAGAACAAGAAAGGTGAGTCCTGAGGCGGGCTGGATAAAAAGATATGGGGAGGGGATCCTCCAGGGAAGGCATCTCATTGAGGTTAGCGAGTCAATGGTGAAGACCGTCCCCTTGGCCCCTGAATCCCAAGGCTGATGGTCCCCCTGAGAAATTGGTTTGGGAACTTTTGTTGTTCGAGGGGCTAGAAGGGAATATCATGCAATATATTATGGGCTATCGATGGGGAGTGGGACCCCCTAAGTGCTCCACCCATTCACGGTTCTGATTGCATCTTTTTCTCTTTTTAGCAACTCCCATCCAGCAACCCGCAGGTGAGTTTCTTCTATTCCCTCTCTGTTAATTAGGAGGTTTTTCTAATTCTCTCTTCTGGAGCCCCCAAATCTTTTCCTAAGATTTTTGGCAGCTTTTACTTACAGGGATCCCAAAATGTGGTGCAATTAAACACAAAAACACCACATAACACTAAAATCTCACCCAGGATGTTTCCTCATTTTGGGAAACTGCAAAAGGAAAGGCAAGGAGGGGGGCCATTCAGGTCATTGGGGGAAGGGGAGGGAGTACCCCAAGTTTTTGGGCTGGCCTTCCTGACCCCCCTCCCCTTAGACATTTCACACAAGTTCTGGCCAGTGACCCCAGGCTCCCTCCTTTCCTGCCCCCACCATCCGAGCACCATCTTCTCTGTTAAGATGAAATAGCTGCAGGGAGGGAGGCCTCCTCTCTTGATTAATCTCCTAATTAAAGCAATTAGAGACAAATTCCATCTTGTCAAGGTCACGCTGGAGCC